TCTTTTTTTGGTTTTCCCAGTTATTCTTAAAACACCTTGGGAAATCCAAAGACGATTTCTCCAATGCACCAACTAGATAACATTTTCTTTCCGAAAAGATTCTAGACTTGATATATCGGAACAAGATTTCTGGTTGAAAAGTTATACACAGACACAAAAAAAAATCACAAATCCTAGTAAACATAATAGACCACTCTCTATGTTCCAAATCTAAAAATAAACATCATTGTAAAACCAATACATTTATCGCTACGCTCCGAATCTAAAATTAACTTGCTTAAAAATATTATTTAATTTGGGTAATATCTGGATTTTGTATGAAACGGTATATTCGTAGGTCTGTAATTCTCGATGTCAAATTTGCTTTTGTTCGGTTTATGGATGGGTTCTATATAAGCGTTTCGCTATTGGTTTGGGAAAAAACCTTGGGTCCATATGGTATGGTATAATTGAAGGGGGATTTTCAGCCCTATTGGTGGAAGGTTCTTTATAAAGGAGTATGGAATATTATCTGGGCCAGGGCTTTTACTGTTGCAACTTAGTAGTGCTGAAAGTAGCTCTGAGATGTCTAGGGGTTTGTTGAAGTGTTCATTATTTTGATTGGGAGGCGCTGTGAGGATATCAGGGGAAGAGTGTCTGAGGGTTATGAAGTCGGAATTATAGTTCTCGTCACTATTGTTTTTATGAAAGTGGTGCGCGAAAGATTCAGTGGCATTTTGATGTGATGTTATTTTATCTATATAGAGGAGGATGTCAGGAATAGTGTTAAATTTATTACCTCTGATGGAGTTAATTTTGTTCCATATGATATTTGGGGGGATTTTGTGTTTAATAGATAAAATGAAGTTTTGCCAAGATAGGGTTTTGCTTTTTTTTGTGGTAGAGCGCGCTATAGCTCTTGCTTTTTTTTAACTATATGTGGTCCGAGATGGATTTCGTTTATTTAAACCTGTTTAGGATTTTTTTTTGTAGGATTTAATGGCTTCTTGGCATTATTTATTCCACCATGGGACGGTTTTTTTGATGTTTTGATGTGTATTAAACCCAATTGATAAGTTGGCTGCTTCTAAAATAATGTCTGTGGATTTTTTGACTATTGAGGCTATTTTTAATTGATTACAATTTGGGTTTAAATCAATCAATGAGTTTTGAGTTAGTTCGTATTCAATATTTTCGGAGAATAGGTCCCAGTTAGGTTTTTTAAAATTCCATTTTGTGGAAAATTTGTTTAGACTAAGGTGGTTTTGATACTGGATTCCTATAGGCCAGTGGTCGCTATCGCTGTATGCAGAAAGTACTTGCCAGTCGAATAGTGTACTAAAGTTAGTATTTGTAATTGTAAGGTCTATTGCAGAGAAGTTTCCATTTGAAACATTGTGTCTAATCGGCTGATTATTATTTGGTAGGATGAGTGATTCGTCTTCTAAAAATTGTTCAACGATTTGGCCCCTGAGATCTGTGTGAGTACATCCCCAAGATGTATTGCGACTATTGAAGTCGCCCAAAAGGACGAAAGGTTTGGGAAGCTGTTTAGTGATATCCTTTAGATGTTGTTTAGTGAAGGTTTTGCTATCCGGGATGTATATGTTGCATATGCTTAAAGGTTTATGAAATTTGACTAGAGTTGCTATAACTTCGAGATCAGAGGTGATTGAAATATTTTCACTATCGATAGTGTCTTTGATGAAAGTGGCTACTCCTCCACTTGCCCGGAAGGCAAGTGTTCTATTTTTAAAGTAGCCTGTGTAGTTTTTGATGTTTGCACAGTGGTTGTTTTTTAAGTTGGTTTCTTGGAAACATAGTATTGCAGGTTGAAGATCGTAGATAATGCAGTTAATGCCAACGGAACGTTTATAAAAATCGTTAATATTCCATTGAATAAAAGAGGCCATAGAGAGTTTCGAGGAGGAGAAGGAGGGGGTTGGTTAGATATCTGAAGGTGGTATGCTTTGGAAAAGCAGGTTTGATAATTTAGTGATTTTTGCTTTTATACTGCGGTCAGTTAATATAGGTCTGATTTGTTCAATCAATTTAAGCATATTGACAGCATTCGATTCGACTTTGTTATATAAATCATGTATATTTATGTTTTTGTTTGAAAAATGTTCAATAATATATTTGAGCGTGTCACTATTGATGGATAGGTCTTCTTTAAGAAGAATAGTCTCGGATGCTATTGCGAGTTGTTCATCTAGTCTATCTGTAATACTCCATGTGGAGGAAGATCTAGATCGGATTTTGGTTTTTTTTGTGTTTTTTTCCTTAGTGGATTTTTTTGTGGCTTGTGGGATATTGGGAGTTTCCATATTGGAGAGACAAGGTTTGGGGGATAGTGGTGATGAAAGGCATGCAGATTCAGGTGCGGGTCTCTTGCACGTAACATGGGGTTCTTGTGGTTCCAATATGTTTGTAAAGTTTTCATTGAGAATGTTTTGGTCATTTTTTGGCTTAGGTGTCTCGTTGATATTCGGGATTGTCTCAGTGATTAAGTTAAATTAGCTATGGATTTTTATGGCCGAATTATCATTTGGGGAGTCCATATTTTGCGATAAAAATGAATTGGAATTTATCGTCTTAGGTTCGTTAGAAATCTCATTGGTGTTCGGGATTTTTTCATTGGGTTGGTTGGTTTTGATATCTGTGGCTGTTTGCTCGTTTGAAATGTCCATATCCTCAGATATAATTTCGTTAAAATATGTTGTTTTACATGAAGATGATACGTGACCTGTTTTCTTGCATAGAAAACAGGTGACAGTGTCATCGGTAATAAAGATACGGTATGTGGTATTCTCTAAAGCAATCGCGATCGAACCGGGGAGTTTTGGAAAATGTTTTGGATTTATGTATAGTTGTCTTCGAAAACTAGTGATGTGGGCAAATTGGTCTAGTTGGAAGCCAGCCTTCAACGCAGTGATTGGAGACGTTATTTTTACGTCAAGGTTAACGAGCGCTTTAATTATGATATTGTTAGGGATAGCGAGATATACGTTTGATAGAATAATGCGTTTTGACGGGTTAATTAACTTGCGTATCGGTATTTCGATATTATCAATGTATATGGCTAAATGTTTATTTATTAAGTCATTAGTTATTTGTTGACATTTGAGAAAAACACAAAACCGGTTGTTAGATATGCATGACGCTGATATTATGTTAGTGGCATCGATTATTTTATTTAACGCAATGATATACTGAATTTGTTTGATTCCGTCTACTGAATTCATTACTATGGCTTGATTCATTTTTGGCGTGACGGAGTTTGCTGTTGTTTCTACGAAACCTTTCCCAATTGAAATGGAGGAATCTGAATTCATTCAACCCAAAACAACAACACGTATCCTGTCTTCTGGAACTCCAGCAGATCCCAAGAAATGCAAGCCAATGTTCGTAACAGCCAACCGATATTCTTCACTTACTATTGACGATGACGCCACAGGTAATACATCCTTACATACACAATCTAACTTGAAGTGAACAACGAAATTAAAAATAAATTACCTCCTCCTATATTTATCCGTGAAGTGTTAGATTTTGTTAGCTTTAGGCAACAATTGATCTCTTTAATTAGCCCAGAAAACTTCTAATTCAAGTCTTCTACAAATGCACTAAAAGTGCAAACAATTAATCCAGATTCCTACAGGAAAACTATTCATTTCTTAAGAGATGATAAAGCCCAATTCCACACCTTCCAACCATAAGAAGATAAAGCTTTTCGCATAGTCATCAGAAACCTACACCCATCAACACTAACTATTGAAGTCGGCAGAGCCATTGAAGATTTAGGCTTTACTGTACATCAAGTAGCAAATGTTCTCCACAAGGTAACAAAAAGCAAGCTTCTAGTGTTTTTTGTTGACCTGGAACCAGCTATAATAAACAAAGATATATTTAGTTTGAAGTCCCTACTTCATACTAAAATAAAAGTGGAAGAACCCCATAAACGTAAAGATATAACGCAATGCCACAACTGTCAGGAATACGGCCACTCGAAAAAATACTGTGCACTCTCCTCAAGATGTGTCCGTTGTGGAAAAAACCATCCATCTTCAGCCTGTACCAAATCTAATGAAACTCCTGCTAGTTGCGTACTCTGCAATGGAAACCATCCGGCTAACTACAAAGGTTGCAAAACATACAAGGAGCTTCAAAATCACCGGAATTTCTCCACCAATCAAAATAACGGTAACAAAACAAACAATGTTAGCTTTAAATTTAATAACTGTGAAAGTTCCCCGCGGCCAACACAAACCACTAACCCAATCCCAGACCCGTAATATGCTCAGGCAACTTCTAGTCAAAAGTCTACCCCATCGAACAAAATATGAACAACGACCTTACGACCTTTATTAACAATTTTCTAGCTATTATAAATCCACTAATAGCCCTCCTCACAACAGTCCTCGACCGCCTATTATCTAACAATGTTAAATAATTAATTTACTTCCCAGTCCCTAATTATCTTTTTGTGGAATGTCAACGGCTTAAAAAACCATAAAAACGAACTCATCAACTCATCCTTAATTACTTCACCAATTCCTGGTATACTAAATGGAAAGTTAAAATTAACAACGAAAAGTCATTACACATTACTTTTTCTTTAAGGCAGGGTGAAATACCTTCTGTTAACCTAAATAATCAAACAATACTAATAGTCCCCAACATCCGTCCCTAGGTATAACCTTAGACAAGAGACTCACCTGGGCAGAACATATAAAAATTAAACGCAACACTCTAAACCTCAGAAGGAAATCACTACACTATCTGATAGGTAATCACTCTAAACTTAACCTCAATTTCAAACTACTAATTTATAAACAACTTCTCATGCTCATATGGACTTATGGCATCCAGCTATGGTGTGCGGCTAAACCATTAAATTTAAACATAATACAAAGATTTCAATCGATTACCTTGCGCATGATAACCAAGGCCCCCTTTTATGTATCCAATCACACACTCCATACTGATCTTTATATTAAAACTGTCTCAAAAATTTCGTCAATTATACATAAACGTTATCGGTTACGACTAGAGAACCACCCCAACCCGCTAATCGCANCTCTTAATCTCAAAAAAAAAAAAAAAAAATATATATATTTAACATAACTTTAAAACATTAAACCAATAAAGTGTAGCCACTGGGTTACTTCTTTTATCAAGAAAATCACGTCAATTTATTATAGCCCATATTCTTATTGTAAAAGTAACTTACAGATTGTATATTTTCTAATAAAAAAACCTCAAAAAAAAAAAATTCGGGCCTGAAGGGATCAATTATTTTTTTCATATGAACATAATACACGTACAACATATTTTTTTAAAGTAATCGATATAATAGATAATAAATTTTCTTTTAAAATTGTAAAGTAACAAGTTATTATAATAAGCTAGTTTTCTTTGCTTTAGAGTCAATTCATTTAAAACATCTTCTAAATCTATGTAAATATTTTGATGAGCTTTATGAACATTGCCAATCTATTTAATCGATTCTAAAGCCCAACATATTTAGTCATTAGATATTTAATGTTTGCTACGTAAAATTAAATACAGTAAATACACTGAAGACTAAACAAATTAAATTATCATTCATTTTTAAGTTTTTCACTAGTCACTTAACTAATTGGACAATAGAAAATGACTGCCACAATTTAACTGATTAAATGTAATCTACGCTATGATAAAACTATTCATATTCACAACATGCACATATACACACATCTTTCATGCACGTCCAAATGCGTCAATAGCTTATATATAAATATATTCCATTATTCAGTGAAACCGGTTAATAGCCATACAATTAACATGTCAACTGATAATGAGTAAAATGTTTAATAGTTTGTTGTATACAAGATAACAGAAGTAATAAAAAAATTAAATGTTAAAACAATTAATATTTGTTTTGAAATAATCGTTAGAACTGGTAAGAGTATGAAAATCAGCATAAATAATATGCTGATTATAAAAAGGTATTCATGTGGAAGTATTTGAAGTACTTAATGCATTTTTTGATTATACACTTGAAAATTATATCGAAAAACATAGTGATTTTTCACTAAAAATATGGGCAGATTTTTCATCAGAACGAAAAATAAACTATTGCGAATCATTTCATGGAAAACTTAATTCACGATTTTATTCCACTCACTCAAATATTATTTTATTGATTGAAGAATTAAAAGCAATCCAATGTGAAACATATATAAAGAAAAAAATCTCACTAAAATTAAAATTAAAAACAAAATTGCTGAAAAGGAATAGTTTATTGACAAAAATATTAAAACATTGAAAGACTGTCAAATTTCGAACTTATAATTCGTTAAAAATGTATCTTATAAATTCATATCACATTAATTTGTTTTTAATATTATTTATTATAAATTATTATCATAAAGTATTATTTATTTAAAGAAAAAATATTATTATATATGTACCTATACTCTATAACAAGTACAAATAATTGTTACTGACAAATACGTACGTAGCATATATTATGTATATAGACGAGCAATATTTTTAACCATACCTAGTTATTCTAGACAGTCCAAGTCTATATAAAATGGAAAAGAAATTGTTGCTGGCTGAATATATCATAATAATTTGAAAAGTTAATTAACAAAGTTGTACTATCATGAAAGCTAGTGGGAACCAATTCGTATGTCACCTTTACAGGTAGACGACCCGGGAATCAATTCGACAATTAGGAACAAATTCGTAGTCGTCCATTTATTCATTCATTAATTACTAATCAACCCTAAGTTGATTTTAGAGATTTTTCCACACTCTCTCCACTCTCCTCTGTCACTAAGCAGTCTTTTCAGCTCCTTGTAGCTTCTCAGTCCGACATCTTTAATAACTTTATTGTTTTAGGATGTTCTCTGCCTCTTTTGCCTTAAATTTGTCCTTTTAAGTTTGTGTCTTGTAGTTCCTTCCCATGTTAAAGGTGTCCAATAAGTCTCCATTTTCTTTCTTTGTTTGATTTTAATAATCCTCTAGGTTCATTAATTGCATTAAGTATACTTTAATTATTGTGGATATCCATTCAGCTAACTCTTAGTAGTCTGCATCAGCAACACGATTCGAAATTTTATAAATACCTTTCTTCTGCTTGGTTTATTACCTAAGTCTTTATGCCTTATAAAGTTACGCTCCACCTAAAGACTTCAACAAATCACTTACTCATATTCATACTCATATTCTTGGAGCATAGCAATTCCTTGTGGTTCATCAGTCAAGTTTTCGCCAATGCTATCCTAGCTTTAATTTTCTTAGTAATTTTGCCATCATGGGTGATCAAATTGCTCAGGTATAGCTGTTTATTTGCTCTGGATGGTTATATCTTATATCTTCATTTAGATCAATTTTCATGAATCTAGATAGTTTTTCTGCTAGCTAATCTGAATAATGCTTCTCTGCCCACTTTTATATCGTGTATGTTTGGACGTCAATCCTATCAACGTTACCACTGCATCGACGTCCAACACAACTTTTTAAGGACAGCAATATGTAGTAGACGTTAAAGGTTCTCGGCCAGACATAGTTCATGGTTCATTACTTTTTGTCCATCCAAAAATCACGTAATTATTTACATACAAAATATATTTTGTTAATATGTTAATATCTGGGCATACGTCGTATACCCGGATGCATATTAACAAACTGTAAATGGTCTAAAATTTTTATATAAAATAACCTATTTTCATAGCTTATAGTGCTTTCAACTAGTTTTGTGGTTCAGCTAAATGGGCTATAGCTTTCCTCGTTGGCCGTATTTCTTTTATCGTTTTAAAATCAGTTGGTTATCGATAAAGTTTAACTTCGTGCACTCCAGAACGGATATTTTCTACAACAACTCGCGTGAAAAATTATTTAAAATTTACGATGTCAGAAAAAAGACTATTGATTAGCTATGATAAATATAAACAAAAATTAAAATATCAAAGAAAATTATGTGATTGCATTATTTTCTCAACATTCTCCCAGGAGAATTCAACTTAGAGAATGGCATCAGTAAAATGTAGCATTTTTTATTTTTTGTTATTAGTTGTTTAATAGAATACTTGAATTAAAAAAGTATTATTAAAAGTGTTTTCTAATTTTATTATTGTTTTTGATTTTAAATAACTTAAGTTAAAAGAGTTTAGCCCCCTCCATACCAAAATCCTGGCTATGCCTTTGAGCAATAATATAATAATTGTATGTTGTGTTATTGTCCAACCACATGGTCTAATCAGTTTACTCTAGTCCACAATAATAACCGTTGTGCATCGAAAATGATAGACAATACTATTATATAAGTATTGTTTATCTATGTCAAAGTCATTGTGTTCATAGAAAGAAGTGTTTGTGAGCTGTTTTGTTTTTTGTTTTTAATATCGAATTACTACTAATATTTTATATCCCCATTTATTTTTAATTTTTGATTACTAATGGACACATTTGTCATTCGAATTGCCAAGGTAAGTTAATAAAATACAAACATACCTAATATTAGTTACATAAATTATTAAATTTACAAAATTAGTTAATATGCTTATTAATTTTTTTTATAATATAGGATAAAAAACAACGTAATGTAATTTCTAATCTCGATGATCCGGATCCTATAGTTGAAAATGAGTCCTTCTCCGGCTAAAAAAATCAAATATGTATGTCATTTAGTATTTATATATTCTTACTTAAATTTACTTCCTAATTACTATCTAAATATAACATTAATGTTTATTAGGTAGTAATAGTTTTTTCTAGTAATATTACTAATAATTTGAGTTCTTAATCATTTTAATTGTCTTAAATATTGTTAAATAATGAATTGTGTTCAACAAAATTTTCAATGCAATTATCATCATTAAAACGAACAACTTGCTTTCAGAATTGGCAAAAACATTGTCATTCATTATAAATATTTCATTGGCCAATTCATCAGTTTTCTATGAAACCTATATTTCTATAACTAAATTGTGTTGGCCTTCCTCTTTTGTAAAAATCTGATTACATACAGGAAAAATTTGATACTTCTTTGTTAGTAGCCTTAGTTTGTATGGAATAAAATAATGGAGGATTAAAACAGTTGATGAAAATAAAAAATAATGAAATATAAATTGGTTTTTTTTTTTTTCAATTTTGTTTAGACTACATTATGTATTATAAGGATATATCTGGCATAATGTCTGTGTATTGGAATGTAGAATTGTCCTACAAAAAGTTTACGACGTTGGACGTAGAGCAAATCATACAAATATATTATTGTCTTTTTTAATGAAGAACGGTTGCC